ATAGTGTACGGGCCGACGACGCGCGTATACGCGCCGTAAACGCGCGTTATCTGCGCGTATTCCCGCCGTAAACGCGCTGTTAACGCGCGTATGCGTAGCACATTTTGACAAGAGACAATTTTAATTTTAGTTTTGTTTGTTAATTTCGTTTAATTTTTGAAATAAAGGAACATCCTACATGATATTCTATATATCTTATTGCTTGCAACGCGAGTTTGCGCGCGTTTGAATCGATTCACTACAGCGCGTCTAAGGCGTATACGCGTAGATGACGCGTGGTTACGGCGCCGTATGCAAAGGCTCCAAAGATTGGAGCTCGTCGAATTCTTCTTCCTTGTATGCTGGACTTATTTGATGTACGTATGTCAAAACTAGAACACGTAAATATATAATAATAATAACTGGTTATGATACTGTGGCTTCAAATTAGACGCTTGTAGGAAAAGTGCAGTGGCGCCACTGTCCACTTTTGAAGACTAGATATTCTATGTGCCACAGATGCGCCACTGCAGCGCTTCTACAAGAATCTAATTTGAATGCGCCCTTACGGGTAGTTTCAAATTTTCCGTTTACATATTCAATATGCTGGAATAATATCCCACCATATCTTTTGTAGTGTCCTGTGTCAATATTGGAACAATATATTAAATATGGAACTATTTTGATGTATGCGACATTACTTGAAGCGAACAAATGAAAATTAGTAGAATAGAACCTGCAGAAGCCAGGTTACAACGCATTCCTGTGTTTCGGTGTGAAGGGCACTCTTACCCTGCTGGTGAAATTACAGGCATATGAGACTTGTCAACTTATGTCTCAGAGTATACATATACCATAGGTTCCCAAACCTTATATGGCTCACCGCCCACTTAGGCAAAATAAAAAAATTTGAACGCCTACCGCCACAAAAAATATTGAAAACACGTATTTTTTATATTAATTTAACACAAAAAAATCTCAAAGTAAAAAATATATGTGTAATGTTATATACAGGGTGTCCGGTAAAGAATGGATAAGCCTGAAATGCCTTATAGTAGAGTTTATGAACGTTCAAAAAAATATATAAAGAAAAATATATCCCATATAGTACCTAAGATATATGTATATTTTTTTCTTTAAATTTAATTATTTTCACCTTATTTTACGTTTTTGTACACCACGACTACAAGTAATCAATTCCTTCTTTTTTGGTGTCATAATATTCTACTTTAACTGTGCTAAGATAGGCAGTAAATAGTGTGACTAACTACGGCACTTAAATTTAAAAGAAAGTTTTATTTTATTTTTCAGTGCAAATTTTTATTCACAAAGTTTAAGTTCAAAAAATTATGATAACCTGAGTCGCCAATTCTAAAATAATGTGTGTTTAAAGTAGATTTCAAAATGGTATAATTAATTATTGTATCTAATATAAATAGAAAATTATTGCTATTAATGTGCAAAAGGAGTAAATTTGACTAAAACCTAAGTTTTCTTAATTGGACTATTTTTTGTCCTGAATTGAGCTGACCATTGAGATTAAATAAAAAAAAACAATATTAGAAATAAATACAACTTTATTTACAATTGGTTTACAGCAAATGTTCAAACTGTTTGCCACAGACGCTAGAACGCATACTTCCCGATATGGTGAAAAAAGATATTTATACCGTTGTACGCGGATAGGCTCCAAGACAAAGAATCAAAGAAGACCCGCTTGTGGGGGGGGGGGGATTTTTGTGCACTTTTATGAGATACACCTTGGTTAATTTCTGCAGAAAGTAAAAAGTGTTCGAAATTTAAATAACTAACATGGCCGCCATACAAATTTCAAAGCCTTCTATCACGAAAGCTATTAGAGATAGGTAGAAGGTACTCGAAGGCATGTCATAGAGGGTAATAGGGGTCAACTGCCTGTGTAAAAAAAATCAATATGGCGAATCCAAAATGGCGGCCGAAGAAAAACTTGCTTCGATGCGGCTTACAATTGGCATGCGGGGGTCTTTAGGAGTCCTTAATCATAATATGGGGTCATAAGTTTTTCTACATTTTTTAATATGGCCGCAATATAAATGTTTTTTTCATTAAAAACGGCTGCCGAAAGAGACTTGCTCTGTTTTAGCTGAAAATTGACATACGGAGGCTTCTAGAAGTCCCAGACAATAATTTGTGCTCGAAATTGGTTTATCGCCATTTTCAAATATGGCTGCCATACAAGCGTTTGTTGGTTGTAGAAAAAAAAAATTCTGATCCCTTTGAAAATTGGCATGTAGGAGTTGTTTGATAATAATTTGTGATCAACATTAGTTTATCGCAATATTTCAATATGGCTGTTATAGAAGTGTTTTTTGGCGGTAGATGAAATTTTGCTCTAATTCGATTGAAATTCGGCATGTGTGGTTTAATAATAATTTGCGATCAAAATGTATTTTTCGCCATTTTTTAATATGGCTGTCACACAAACTTTTTGGTGGCATATGGAAATTTGCTCTAATTTACCAACAAGTGTGGACCGATTTTGAAAATTCTTTTTATGATTGAAAGGGTGTACACTCGAGGTGGTCCCATTGTCACTAAGACAGAATCTGATGAGAGGATCCCATGGAAATCGGGCAAAATCCTCAAATTTTATTGGCATGTACAGTGTATTCACCGATTTCTCCTTCAATTGTGGACCGATTTCGAAAGTTCTTTTTTGTTTGAAAGGGTGTACTCTCGAGGTGGTCCCATTGTTACCAAATCAGAATTTGATGAGAGTATCCCATGGAAATCGAGCAAAATCCTCAAATTTTATAACCATGTACAGTGTGTTTGTTGAACTGTTATAAATCAAAAGCTCTCGGATAGTTGTGGACGTTCTTCGTCTTTCCATTTCTCGTAATGATATAATGGGATGAGCGGACTCTGCACTTGATGATGGTAAGTGCTTGTAAGTATTTGTCGAAATAACTTGTATTGGGATTATTTGAATAAAAATCTTTGACTTTCAGACTCAAACACCTGAATGGAAAGATTAAGATAGAATTTCTCGTAATGCCTTTTCGTCATATGGTCCGCGATTAAAACAATGGTCTTAATCATGCCTGCCTGCCTTTTCATAATGTGATATAAAAAGTTGCCTCTGTACCATCAATGGAAATGTCTGATGGTACTACGGTAAAGAAAGGGTGGTTGGATAAGTAATTTATTTGTTTCTAAATCACAAAGTTCATTGCCGTCTAATGTTTAATATAGACTTAAGTAAACGCTACACTACTTATCTGCCTATATTTATTTACTAAAGTTGGTAAAATAAACAAACCTTGTTTTAAACAAATTTTAACCAACTTCAAACTTCACAAACAGTCAAAAAAGTAAAAAGCGAAAAATAACAAAATCAACATTTAATCCAATAGACAACAATTCACGTAATTCTTTTAATTTATTTTTGTCCCATTTTGTTTAGTATACAGTATTATAATAACTTATTAATCGGTCTATCTATATTTATGGTTTATTTATACAATTACAACGTGACAATTCTTGTCCGAACTTATTTTAATAAAATGTTATTATTGGTATGTGCTAATATTTGCTGTATTTTACCACTAAAAATATTGATACTTAAATATTTACAATATCTAATTAGTTAGTTTTACAAATTTTAAATTTTTTTTTTTTAATTTTACTATCTTGATTAAAGTATTTCTTTGTTTACTTACCTTGCCTTACACCGACTCCAAAAATAACTAATTAGATATTGTATAAGTATTTAAGTATCAATATCTTTTCAGTGGTAAAGTAAAACTTCAAACCGATCAGCAGGTAGCACATACCAATAATAATATTTTATTAAAATTATAGGTAATATGCTTAGACAAGAATTGTCACGTACTAATTGTATAAATAAACCATAAATGTAGATAGTTATTAAAATTGTACAAAACGATATAAGCCAAAAATAAATAAAAAAAAGTACGTGCATTGTTGTCGTTTGGATTAAATCTCTGTTTTGTTATTTTTCTCTTTCTAATGTAAGTAACTGTTTGTGGTTTTTGAAGTCGGTTGAATTTTTTTTAAGTTTGTTTATTTTACCATTTATAATATTTTTACTTTGTTTTATAGCACTAAAACATATTCACAATCGTAATGTACACTTACAGCCATATTTACACTATTCACACCCACACATGCACTAATTACACTTTTTTTCATTGAACAATTTCACTCTTATTCAATTCTTATATTTTTGTTTACCCTGCTTATTGCCCATGGCGGCTCTAGCCGCGAACGACGACTGGGTGCGCGGTGCAGCGCTGCGCCGCGCGGCTTTACTCTTTTGTTACAAGGAATGTATACTTTATTTAGTGGAGAATATGTTCCATATTATACTGCACTTTATAATGTGCACCCGTAACAGCTTGACGCCGCTTGCTGCATCTTCTTTTTCAATTTTTGTTTAATGCAATGTAACTTTGTCTATTAGAAGAAAAGGTTAACGTTGCATTGCTTGTTTTAATGCATTGCAGCGTCGCGCCAGTTTGCTGCAGTAATTTGAGGCAACTCTTAGTTTGTGGGATCGAGCGCTAAGGTAACCACCCTGTGAGTATTTTTCAATATTTTTGAATACTTTCTGCGAATCCTTCGAATATTCTTGTACGCATGTATAGTGGTGCACACTGCTATACACAGTCTCAATTCGACATTAAATACAACAAGTACGAAACATAATCATAAATAAATTAATTGACTTAGTTTATTTGCCACGATGCAATAAACCTGGTTTGAAAACATCTAAACAATACGTATGTGCACTTTATTCCTTATACTTTATCAATATTTATAAAAATCACGTTGTAATCATGATCACATTTTTTTCCACTTTTTGATAACCCTTGCATATTTACGTATACATACACGGGCGGTGCGGTTTCGCCGAACATCAAAGGCGTTGCGCTACTGTAGAGAATATTGTAATATTGTGTCTGTACTTCGTGCAATTATTTATGTTTGAGTTACTAAAACAGTTTATTGTTTTAAAGTATGACACACGTGAATGAACCTGAAAAGGTTCCGTTCATATCCGTACGAGCGCAGCCGAAAAAAAGTGAGTACATTCAATTGGTTCATACCTACACCCTTTTCTTGTTTTCAATGAGTTTTAATTTAAAACACACATTTTTTTTATTAACTGATTATGCTCTGATGTCAGGTAATGCCAAACTGCTACTGAGTCCGGCTACGGCGTGGCATTTACTTGATAACCTTCTTTTTGATCGGCACGCATCACGTATGCCTATGTTTTAGAGATACAGCAGCCGGAGTCCCGCTTACGGCGATTGGTCCCGCCGCCTAACCCCATGCGCAGCTATCTCGACTCCACCATCTTAGAGCAGCATAGCATGTTAGGACTTGTCCGCGATTTCAATCGACCACACAAACTGCACCAGGAGTGCTCTGAAGTAATTTTCTCGTGTCCATTTTTATTTCTTCTTGCTTAACATAAAAATAATGAACCGTGTTTTAAGGTTACCTATCACAAGCATTTTGTTCCTCCGAAAACTTTCGGTATATATTGATTATTTAATTGATTTTGTTTTATTTGTTCAAAAATACGCTACGATTTTTTTTATTACACCTTTCAATAATAGATTACATTATTAGTGTCAAAATAGTGAATTTTGACACTCTAATAACTTATTCGTTTCCCGATTCTCATTTCCCCAACATTCCATTTGGCTAATGTACCGAATTCAATATTTTGTTTTTACTCAAAAATCTATAACTACCTACCCATAAATAATTTTTTGTTTTATGTTTTGTTTTACATCAGATTTGAGTTAAGTGATTGACACAAATAATCGGTAAATAAGATTTAATTATGAATGAATTTGAGGTTGGTAAAAGATACTAGAACGATAATTATTTAAAGTACGCTGCCGCGACACGGTCGCTTCCCTCGCTTGGTTCGTGCTGCTTTTTCATATAGCAATCCAAGTACTGTAACTGGGGTGTAGCTCGGATTGCGTAGCGAGAGGTACTTTTCTGAATTTAAAGTGGAATAATCTTCAAAATATACTTTATTGTATTCTATCACATAGTTTTTGCGTTGGGTTTCAATTCAATAATGTCAAGATGCTCCATTCTTTTCTTACTTCCTTTTTTATAACACCTTCTAATTTACAAAACTATTCATTCAGCCAGTGATTCTACTCATAGAGTAGAGCCTAGACTACATCCCTCTTCCTCACAGCTGAAGAGGTGAATATCCCTAGCTGGTGCTCTACCTATGATAGGCAACTTACATAAGTGATCAGCCTTTACTATAGGCTAGACACACACTGCTCGGAAGCTATTATCTTACCAACAAGTAACCACCGAGGAAGCTATGGCTTCAGTCCGGTGCGATGCACACTCTGATTCGGACGTGCTCACACAGTAAGAATTATATTAATTCGCGATCCGCGCGGTAATGACCGCTGCGCGTAATTGACTATGGGTTCCCAACAACTCATAGCCAATGAACTGCTGGCGTTCATACAACACGCCATCGACACTATGGACGAGGTCAGCATCATGCAGATCTGCAAATCAAACTTTAAAGAAGATGAGATTTGCAGTGGCAAGGCGCTGCTTTTCCGTGTGCTTGGCAAGGCCGAGCAGATGCCATCTCGCCGGAGGGATGGAGGAACGAAGAGTATCCAGGACATTATAACGATGTTAAAGGAAACCGACCCAGACGACGTGCCTGCTTTCGTGGCAAAGGAGCTGCACAAGCTGCCCCCTGTCACGTTCGACCATGTCGATGTCACTAGGCTGCTTAAGGACATCACATCCCTGAAAGCAAGTCTGGCCGAAGTTCAATGTAAATTGGAGGCTTCGGATAACACCATCTGTGAGTTACGTGCCCAAGTTGTATTACTGAGTAGTGCAACTTCGGTAAGTAGGTCACCCGAGGCCTGTAACGTGAATACTCGTCGCGGGGCACATAATGCATCTATCGGCAGTTTTGAGTCGGCCCATACGGATGCGTCACCGACCGCTGTCGCTGAGCGCGATTCCCCGCGCCCCGCCCCTCGATTGTCCGCTCCGGCGGAGACGTCACGCGTAAACACGTTGACCCCTCCACGTGATTACGCCGCTGTCGCAGCTGTTAACCGACCCGTTGCTCCACAACCACAAGCCAGGCAGCTATCAACGAAGGGGATGAAAAAACCTCGTGTACCTGTCTCTGAAGTTGCAAAACCACAGAGGCAGACGGACCGGTGCGACGATGACGGCTTCACAAAGGTGGAGAAGAAGAAGAGGAAGCCCACCAGCCGTAACCTGTGCGGCACTGCACCGACAGGGTCCAACTTTTTGCTGCGTCCGGCAATCCCGACAACGCTGCTGTACCTGTCACGCCTGCATTACTCCACGAAGTCTGAGGAGATAGTGGAGTACATCAGGTTGAAATCCAAATACACCCTGAGAGTCGAGCGGTTGGAGTCCCGCCACTACGTGAACTTTAATTCGTTTGTGGTGAGAGTGCCGACCGAACATCTGTCGACCTTCATGAAGGAGGAGTTCTGGCCGAAGGGTGTCCTATACCGGCGATTCCGTGGCCGGTTGCCTGACACCAGATGGCGCCACACGTCGCCGACAACCTAAATACGTGTTAAATTAGTGTTATTTTATTTTATATTGTTATGTATGTTAGTCTGTAAGGTATGTATCTATGGGTCTCAGTAACCTGAATATAAATAAAGAAAAAAAAAAAAATTTAGTCTGCCAAAAACCTATCTAAAAGGACAGACCATGATCACATCCTAATCAAACAAATCAAAATATAATTACTCGCTATCCTAGCTAATTAGGGAACCTGACTAAACCCTAACACTTTATTTCAGCGACTCTAGACTGGCTGAATGATCCTAATAAAAATTCTAAACATCACTACTTCCTAACTGTTTCCCTAAATTATCTTCAACGTGCATGCTGCCACAACGACGACACAGGCTTGAGCATCCATCGGATGTTCACTGGGTTACATCAATATTGAACTTCCAGCTGCCTCAGTCATCATCCTGCAGCTATCCACGTTCGATCAGCTATTCTCACTTTCTTTAAACAAACAAGAACAAACACACGTATAACCCTAATAACATATCCTAACATACATATGGGATGGGGGTATTCCATATGAAGGACTGCTAATAATTAAATAAATATATTTTCCCTGAATGCAGACAGTCCTTGTTCATCTGGGAGAGTGAGCACGAACTATGCGCATACATAGGACAATATATCTATCAAACTAAAAAAATAAATAAAAAGGAAAAGTAAGTTATATCCTTCTAATCCAAATCGGTACTCCATCATATCCTCCCGTCCTTCAAAGTCTGCATTGCTGGAAAATAACAAGCTCCCCCAAAACTCTTCACAATCTCATCGTGGTTCCACATGAAAAATAAATAAAAAAGATTAATTAACCTAGTAGAAAACAAGAAAACATTAAATTATCTCCTATAGAACGTTTTCATTCTACTCGCATGCAGTAGATCCTGCCTACCCAATCTATTCTTATTTATACCTAAACTTCTCATCATACAATTAACTTTACTCAAGCGATATACTATCCTAACTTACATACCTCTTAGATAACAAAACAATCCTGTCTCTTTTATCAAATATTCGCTTCTGCTTGGATTGTAAATTATCTATACATACTTTATGCAAATCTATCGAGGCTACTCGTTTTAATAACTTGTAAATTGTCCACTTTACTTACAATAGGTTTAAAAATGTTGCTTTCCGAATTATATTTTGTATCTAACTTCGGGAAAGCATACTTATAATTATTTTTATTGAAATTACAATCTTGACGTAATTGACACGTCTTTTCACTCACGTCAACTTTATCTATTATTTCTGGCAAAACCGAGAAACTATCTAAACTTTTTGATACTGGTTTCAAAGAAGACTTTTCTTTCTTTAACCCGATATCTGTCATGGACTTAGAAAAAGAAATTTTGTTGTCCATTTCCAATTTTGACAACTTGGAAGTTGAAACCGAACTTGAAACCGAAGTACTTGTATCCACCAACGCCTCGCAACTTACATCATTAATAAAAACAGATACAAAAGGTGCCTTATCTACACTAAAACTATCAATTGTAGACAAATTTTCTAAATGTTCAGCTGCGCTTTGCTGACATCCACGTTGAGGAGATCCCGACGAAGATCCACAACTATGTGCCTGTGAATACCCTTGACTTGGCGTATCCTGATGCACAACTGGTGCTCGTGGCACTTGATATTCCGACTGCTTAGACTCGGGTCTAATTATCGGTGCAGAGTCACCCTGTGTTTGCCAACAATGAGAGTGCTCCATGTGACAATATACTGGCAATTCAATATTTTGTCGACTCACATCATAAGTGTGATTAAATATATCATCTATTTGTATAATTGTTTTTTCTCAACTCCTCTTTAGATAAATATAAATTCTTAAAATAAAAATTGGGTGTCAAAGACTTCAAGAAATGTCTAATAAACCGAACATCTTGAATATTCGCTTTCGTTGCTAACTTATCTAAACTATAGTAATAACTTTTTTTTTTGTACACATGATGAGATAAGACTGTATTTATACGAGTTTTAAAAACGTTCGTTTCAAACTTAATTGTAACATGTATGAACTCCTTCGCCGCGGATAAAGCCGGAAGGGCTTTTGTGAGCGATGATTGTATTTATTTATTAAGTATTTTTTTTTCCTGTTTTTGGTCAATAAATTAAAAAAAAAAAAAAAACTTATCAGCGATTCATTAGGCCCCTGTCGCCTATAATAAAATTCTCGAGCGTAATCTATCTGTGAGGGAAATTCCTCTCTTAACTTCTGTGGAATCACATCATACGTCATGTATGAAGAAAAATACGTTTTATACCATTGTAGAGCTGGCCCCTCCAAATACAATGCCAACACGTATCTCTTATGCACATCAGACCAGTTGTTTAATACACTATTAGGCCTCAAATTGATTCAAAAACTCGTCTACGTCGTTGAACCCATTACATCTTTGTGCCGGTACACAATACATATTCACTTCTCGCACTTTTTACTGGTATCAATTATAAATCAATATTAAATATAAAAAAATAAATTACGACCTTATGTACGCTTTCTTGGAAGTTGTGTTGTAACAACATATAAAAATATTTCACGATGGACTTTTCTTCATCGGAATCCTTTCATCACTAGTAAGCTTGCGTCTATCATTTGCAGGCTTGAATTATGTTATGTCTCTTCCATTGGCAGATTTTTCAAAATAAAAATATAAAAAATTTTCACTTCGGGATTCGTACTTTCTTCATTTGTAAGCCGGCGCATTCCACCATTTGTAACTGGGGGGTAGCTCGGATTGCGTAGCGAGAGGTACTTTTCTGAATTTAAAGTGGAATAATCTTCAAAATATACTTTATTGTATTCTTTCACATAGTTTTTGCGTTGGGTTTCAATTCAATAATGTCAAGATGCTCCATTCTTTTCTTACTTCCTTTTTTATAACACCTTCTAATTACAAAACTATACATTCAGCCAGTGATTCTACTCATAGAGTAGAGCCTAGACTACAGTACTAAAGGGGATGCACCCAAGTTTGACTCCTACCTGGGATCGTACTTTTGGATATATTTTCTATGTTTGATTAATTTTATCTAAGACTACTAATTTTGTCAAAACGACTATTCAGCAACCGTATGGAAAACAGACAGTAGGATAAATATGAATTGACCAAACAAACTTCTGCCAAAAGAATGTAATAATTATTCTAATAATTTTTTTTCTGACAAGTGATACTTCTGCTGTAAGACATTTCAGTGTTACAAATTTACACCAAAACAGTAATCGCATTATGAAAAATTCAAACCGTGTTCGGAATAATGAGATTCGGGAAAAAAAATCGTGTTTGTGGTAGGTTACCTGCTATAGACCTGGATCTGTAAATAAAACTTGCTTACTACAAATTTAAATCCCCTGGAACATGTACAACATTTATATATTTACAATGCAATGTAGTGGTACGCGACGAGGCGCTAATGTTTCTTTATTTGTCTCTCTTTGTTTAGGATAAAATGCACACCGGAGAAAAGCCTGCAATACCAAGGTCACGTGCACGTCGAGCTCGAGCTGACGGTGATAGTAAGAATCAAATTTTCAGGAAATAACTTGATTTTTTTTGTGGGGTACGTACTTATCTATTATCGACCTACAACATCCATCAGGTGCAGCTCGCGATCAGGGCCTAATAGCTACATCTTTAGAAGTTGCATGCGGCGAAGATAACGCGTCTGTTAACCAATCCGACAACGATCTATTCAACAATAAACGACAAGGAAATTTGTACGTTTCTTACTAAGATAATTTGTCGTTTAAGCTGTCAGCACGTAATGTAAATTGTAATTGTGTTCGTTGCAAACAGCTCTATATCAATAAACAAGAAGTCACAGCCGACCTCTTTGCGGAAAGCAGCGACGTTAGAGAAACGCAGGAAACATGTGCCACTAGAAGTTCTCACGAAAGAGAGTGAGTCTAAGGTTGGATCGCACTTGTTAGCAAGTATCAGCATGGCGTCTAAAATTTGTAAGGTATCGTCCGTGTGTTTTATACAGGGTATTGTCCAGACTCTCGACGCTGTAGCGTGCTACCAAATGAGGTCCAAACCTTGATTGGATACGCTTTGCTTAAATCGAAACATTAGAAGTGTGTACACTTTTCATGTATAACACGTAGAAGAATGGGGCATAACTTACTACCTACAATAAAAATGCACTTAAAAATCACTATTAACTTTCGGAAGTATGCTTAGTTTTAAGAAAAATACGTGTTACTATATCAGTAAGTTGTTGTTGGCATGTGTCGTACATTGTAAGTAGTATTAATGATTATCACTTACACAGTTTTGCAAGTGTGTATGGAATTAGTTCGTTAGGCGACAGATAGGTGGATGTGCAGCAGTCACGGACGATGAGAAATGAGCGTAACATGATGATGGTGAACCCACTTCGCCGCCATCTCAACAAGCAACGGCATATATTGGTAGGTAATGAAAACAATTGGGAACGGGGTTTGTTTTACATAAGCAATATCCAACCAATGCAACCAATTCACCCATAATCAGAGTTTAGATACCTATATTCTTTGACAAACAGTATGTAATCTGGCGCTGGATACTTCTGTTCGTGGACTACCTTTCGTGCACTGGTGTCCTGTAGAGTGGGTAGCATACTGTGCGCAGTGTTTTTCAATTTAATTTTATAATATGTATAATTTTTCTTAATGTTATTATTGTTTTTTTTTTAAATAATTATTTAATTTAATCAGCTTGACTTGTAAGCGTTTCCGGAATGTAAATATTGTAAGCTTTCAAGTGTTTTCAATAAATAAATAAATGGAGAATACAAGAAGTATACAATAGTTAATTCTCGGAATTAAAAATAAAATACCAGATAAAAATCTCATGATTATTGCAACTTGACTTGTTTAGAATACTACATCAAGCCAATCTACTAACTTTTAGCATTTGGACTTGCGCAAGCAGTTGGGCAAATTAAGCATTTGCCAGTAAGCGATCCAAATTAAATAGTTATGTAATATTTTTGAGATATTTATGCGCTATGCAGTAGGTCCTCACGACACTCGTTTTGTTAAGACATAAATTTTTAGTTTTCATTAAGGTAGAGAGAGTCACATTAATTATTATGGAGAACCTATAGGTACTTTATTCCAACAGAAGATCGTCCTGTCGTGGAACTGTTCAGTAAGAATAACACCTTGCACTCCGCCGATATCAAGCGGAACGTTGCAAATAGTTCTAAGACTGGTATGTGAAAATTTCAAAAATATTTATAATCTTAACTTATTACACTTTAAAACAGTGCATAGATATATGTTTTAAAAATTTCAGTTTTAGAAGCTGACGAGGAGATATTGCAAACAGCGGCAGCTGTAAAGAAAGAAAAGGTATTGTGTTAAGTGTAATGAGTTTACAACTAGAAATATTTAATTAGGTAACAAATACTGTTTTTCTGTCTAAAATCCCTCTATAGAAAAGCTTTGGGACCTTTCTTAACGTAAGTGGCCTAAAGTTAAATTTGAATCTTACGTGCTTTTGGCCCACGTTAATTAGGTCTTTTGTTTTTATGACACCTGTGCATAACGTATGATGCTTTTTATTTATGTTTATAAATAAGTATTTGTTTACATATTTGTTGTAGCTACTCCTGCAGAAATTATATTAAGGTGTTAAAATTAAATTAAATTATATTAGGATGTCAATTTGGGAATTTGGTTTATGATGTGATGAATAATAAATTAGAGCTATTATTCGTTCTTATCTTCACTCTGATTTGAGGCATTGAATATGTTAGATAAGTTCACAGCTAGCAAATATATATAGTTAGGTCGTAACTTTAATAGTTTTCAAGAAAAGAGCACTTTGAAAGTCATCGTGAAAAATACAGCTTCTTATTTTTTTTCCTGGGTCGATTTGCTGGGCAGGTGGGGGGTAATTTTCAAGTTAGTTTTCTCTAGTTTTATCTACCTAAGACTAAACTAGTAAATTATATACTGATAGAATCATGAAAATCGTGAAGTGGTCCAGCTGACCTGACATCAAAATGGCTGACCATTTTATTTCTTATTTCCGTTGGCGTTTACGCCAAAAGTAGAAAATATGTCAATAAAGGAACTAAATAGTAGAAACTATATATATTAAATAATGAGCACAGTTTGATTTGTATATCTCGTTTGCCATCTTGACGGACACACAAAACTATCAGGTTAGTTTTGTGTGTCCGGTTAGTTTAAGGTGGCGGGAGTACGTAGGTAGCTACCGGTTATAAGGATGTGGTTGTACGATGACAGGAACACCGGTATCCGCGACGTGTTAAGTACCTTAGCAGGCGCTATGAAATGCCAACAGTGGCGTCGCAGATGAAACAGACGGCCATGCGCTACTACTACGGCAACATCAACAACTCCAAAAATAACTACAACATTCCTTTTATCATTACCAAAAGCTGCGCTCCCTCACATAACATTGGCGTAAACATACAACAGGCAAGTATAAAATTCAATTGTGAACACCATGGTCGGTAGATACCTACTATTCCAAACGAGCAATTTCATGCTAATGGAAGTGCAGTTTTCTATACAGGTACTTTCTGATCGCTGACATAATATATTGCAAAAATTTATTCCCGTAATGGAAATAAACCCTATATTCTGTTTTTGTTTGCCTAATATAATGTTTTCAGGTTTTGAACGGTTTAAAAGTCCAGCAGCCATTATCCGGTATTATACCGCTGACGATAGCACATCATATGGGTGAGTTTCAAGCGTCCACTTACGGTATCAATATGTAGTAGCTATTATTTCTAGGTACGCCTTAGGTATAATTTATTATGCGAAAATACAGGGCCTGTTGTTAGTGTATGCATTATTTTTGCAGGTCTAGGTCATATTCCTAGTAATGAAACAAAGAACGTGGTGAGGTTTTTAAGATTTATTTCCTAAGTAAGTAAATATAGTTATTCCCCGAGTGACCATTATCTGAGAGCATCTATACATGGATTCTGAATTGGTGGCGCTAGTATTGCTGACAACATTTCTCATGTATATATCAGTAGAAATATATTATGTAGTTCAGTTAGTTACCCACTAAGCACACAAGCTGCTTATATTACTTCTGTATAACCTAATAGTTGTATATTAGCTGTTTAAGGGATGTACTAGAGTCCTTAAGTTCTTCAGTAGGGTATTCCAAAGTAATTAAACAGGCGCAAGTCGTACAACAGCCCTACAACGGTAAATGTAATCCTAAGAGGGATAAAAAGACTAGTCATATAGCTATTGTAAGGGCATTTGATGTAAAGCAGAGTTATAAATACCTTTTATAACACTTTGAAGTCTTGTAGAGGGCTTTTGAAGTTAGTCGTTTTTTAAATGGAGTTATTAGCTTCCTTTAAAACGCTTTAGGTATAAAGCTCTTAAAACACCTTGACGTCTTGTAGAGGGTCAAGTACACGCGCGATGAAATATAGCGCGTGTCAAGTAGCTGCGTGTAACCACGTAACCACTCAAACTCTTGAAACATTTTTGTTAAAATTTACATGCAGTACGATAAAGCTACAAACATGTGTTTTAAGTATTATTTATGGTTTGCAACACAGCAACCGAAGCTTGACAATCGAGAGATCAACGCAATCCGGCTGGGGCGGCGGTTGCTGCGGCTGCCCTCGTACAAGTACATCTCGTACAACCGTCTTCTGCAGCTTTACCGCGAGGGTGAGGGTGTGGTACCTCGGTTCCTGCGCTCCCTCAACCGCGCCCATTGCTACTATACTTCTATGTACAAGTAAGCTTCTTTATGAAAGGTCTACGTCGCCTTTTGAGAAGTTTTGATTCCTAATAAATGCATTCGAAAATAGTCTTCTTCGCTATAAGTATATACAGCAGACAATATAAATGTTTGCAACGGTTGTATACCGCTAAAGGCTCAATTTGTATTGCCGCGGAACGAAATGGAAATTTATGAAAAGAAATTGTACATAGCATAATGAACTTTTCTCAAACTTGCTCGGAAATGTTTATATTAGGTAGGCACTTTCAAGAAAAGAAGTCAGAAAATGTGTCATTTATGTAATGCGCAACTGTTTGCCGGCCTAGGCCGGCAAAATATGTATGCATAACAATTACTGTCCGCCACTCTAAACTTTGAAATATATATATTATTATGTTAATAAAGAGCTATGTCAACAGACTGAAGAAAAGCTTTAGCCTTTCTTCAGTCTATTTACAAAGCTCTTTAACGCTTATTAGACTACCCAATTTCAAGCCCCTTCCTCAAGGGTGCGTAGGTACTCGTAGTTAGTGCGCCCCTGCATACACTACTCTGCCAACCTTCTGTCAACCAACCAACCAAACCCTAACTTATTCTGAACGTGAACGTCGAGAGCGTTGTATGTATTACTATACCTAATGGCGCCATCGAAGCTTGTACTTGTTGTTGTTTTGTCACCGATTTTTTTGTAAATTTCACGTAATTTTATAGCCCTCGACCCCTACATACTCATTATATAATATAGTCTTTGTTATCTTTTTTCTGTTTGTCTGTATTTGTTCATTACAAGTCTATCAGGCACAACACAACTTGTTATTTTCTATACTGCACGACATGGCGATAGCAAAACATAGCGTGCCTTATTCCAGCGTGACAACGACAAACATACAGTAATAAATATCATGACGATCGATAAATCCTAATACCATTAAGGAAAAATAACTGTATATTTTTTGCTAATTTCCTTCATAAAAAACTAAACATTATTAAAACTTTCAAATAAAAAACAAATAACAAATTCTGTATATTATACAAATTTTCTTCTTAAAAAGAGCTTCGACGTTAACACAGACTAACACCTTAAAATAATAAATTAATGGGTATATCATAAATATAAACAAAGGAGCGACTAATTCTAAAATTGTACGACTGGAACCGACTAAATCACGAATTTTTAGTGTAATCATATTTAAGCTAGGTGTTGTGGTTCTCGAGATTGAGAAATGGTGCTGCTGGAATAAGTTTATTCCAGCGTGGACAGTAAAACACCCTTATACTTTTGAACGGCGGATCGACTAAATCTAGTTTTTTGCAACTAAAACCGACTAAAAGGGACTTTTTTCTTTCTAGTCAATTTTCAGAAACTCGACCATGATCAGCCTGGAATAAAGCACTCCAAAACATAAAGAGAGACGAAACGATACGACTGGTCTCCGCGTATGTCGCGCGTGGACTTAACTTCCTAACTGCCTTATGTGTTATTACCACAGACATACCTAGCTGCAGGACGCTGCAGACAGAGTCATCCTAAGTCGCCCTAAGTTAGTGTTGGGTCCCTTGAAGTCGGGTAGTATAGGTAATAAGCGTTTAACATCAGTATCCGTCCTTGTGAGTGAACAAAATGTATATGGAATAATATATTTGTGCACCACATAGATATAGGAAAAAAGGGGAAATAAGCAATTGTAAGATAATATGTAAGATCGGGTACCGATGTCGCCACTTTTTAGCTTGTGTGCAATTCAAACTTTATGCTCTATTATCTACTACCATAACTTAACGATTTTGATTGGGTAGGGCTTAAAACGTGAAAATGACGTAACACAATCTTAAAATTTAACAAAATTAATCTTACACTCATTTAAGTAAGAGTTATATTACAATATTTCAGTATATTTTTTCATCCTGGTTCAGCCATTCACCATCAGGTGGCGTTTTAGTAAAAGTGCTACTAGTATATAATAGCTAACTATTACACGTTAGATCGCGCTGAAACTCATTTTTCGTTACACTAAGAACTCATGGAGCGGTTATCATCCACGTATGCCGCGGGACCGCGGTATCTGTAGAATGTAATAGTTAAGTATGTAGAATTAGTAGCACATTTTACGGCGCGTTTTACGGCTGTAATGGTGACGGTTGCTCGTGGTTGCCGCGGCTGGGTACTAATAGAACCGCGCAGGGCGCGATCACCTGGGCGCTTGGCGGCCGTCATCGCCTGCGCACTTTGGCGGTCGATTCACGCGTAATGTGGTACAGGCGCACGCGGGGTTCCACAACTTCTCCATTATCCGCGCGACTTGCGGTTAACTCCCACTAACTTCGCGGTCTGTTCCACAATCGCAACGGTTTCGTGCCCGCAACCGCGGCGGCTACGTGCCCGCACATACTTGCGGGGTCGTGAGTATTGAAATAAAACCGCTGTCTAGCAGAACCGGCGGGCGCGGATGGAAACCGCTCCGTGAATTGTTAACCTTATTAACTTTAATCTGACGCCACTCAACGAGGAATGTGTGTGATTACCTAATCGATAATTAGAAACCATGTGGCCATGTGTGGAAATTTAAACAAAGTCAGAAATAATAATAAGTAAACCAATCTTTTGATTTTCCTGCAGCTTCAATTCAACCTCTCTTTCTTTTATTTTAAACTCATTGGAAAAAATTAAAAATACTCTACGTTTAATCTACGAGTATAATGGAATTTAACTATCTAAATTATGTAATTACATGTACATTTTTCTTCAAGGAACAGCAACGAACAAATTGACATGAAATTGAAACGGTTGTCCGAAATATGAGTTGTATTAAAGTTACTCGAAATAAAATGTTTAGTAATAATAATAATAATAAAATAAAAGAAATCAATTTAACGTGAATGCCTTTCGCCTCGACATTTTAGAGACTTTAATAACAAAAATCATATAAGAAACTTAAACATTTCAGTAAAAATTTATTGTCGATAAACATCAGTCATCCTATATTTGAGTCTACAAATTTCTATGGAGACAAAAAGAAAACATTGAATTATAATAGAAATTATAACTAAAAATGCAAATAGTCGGTGGAATGTCATCTCACTGGTTTTAAAATTTTTGTTTTCACTCCAATTTTTACAAGGTGTATCGCTACAACTTGGCATTTTCACGTTTTACGAGAGATCTTGTATGTACAACGATCGCCATCTCACTGTGGCGATGTTGACGCGAACCACGCCCCCATACCAAATCTCCCCTTTTTTTCTATATCAATGGTGCACCATAACAAACGCAAAATATTTATGTAATAACTTATCTGTGTTTAAATATGGTGCACGAATATACCTGTACCAAATCCATAAAAAATGGCGGTAAAATAAATGAAAGTACTTTAAAGTTCTATTGTGTTGTTTTTTTTTATAGTATACTGTGACAATACTTAAATAAAATTAAATATTTAATTTTAATCATTATTACTTTCAAATCTTCGTCTTTCTATTCTAAACCATTTTAATTTAACAGTCTAGCGACAGGATTAGACATCGATGGAACAAAATCGCGTAGCTCTCAAGAGGCGAAGCTGAGCCTCGGAGAATACGCGACGCTGTACCGCGTGTACGAGCAGGTGGACAAGTGTCTCAAGGAGAAATACGATCCGGAGCTGATGCGACGTAAGGCCGAACTTGCCAGGGAGCTCACCGCTAGGGAAGAACAGATTAGACGGGTATCATATTTACGAATATTTTAGTTTACTTTGAAAAGTAGCTACGAACTTGCCAAATTGTTAGTTCAGATTATACCCGTTTATGGAAGTAAGTGAAATAATTTTCTAATTTCATATTATAATGAAAGATGATTAAATGAACTTACCTGTACGTGAAATTTTATCAAAATTATACGAGCTGCTCAATTCGAAACTACTAAAGGTGCCTACAGATTTCTTAACAAAATGAGTAAATGTGTTAGCAACAGACAATCGACTTCGTATTTTTTGTCGATCGACACTGTGGAATTTAAATTAAGTGTATCCAGGTGCCTACAAATTTGTTCGATTTTAAACCTGATTATTTATCGATCGGTAACAGGCAACAGTAACCATCGATACAATCGAGCAAGTCTCTTACCGGACAGCTCTAATTCATCATGAAAAAACAGCACATCAAACGCCAATAACGATAGTCAAAAATCGAGCAAATGTGTAGGCACCTGAACATTCACATTACCTATGTTGTTCTATATAATAAAAGTGTAGTCCCTGCACATGTAACGCCATCAACGATCGTCAAAAGTCGAGCAAATGTTCGCCTTAATATTCACATTACATTGTTAAATAACAGTAGTATAGTCATTGCATATCGTCAAAAATCGAGCAAATCCTTAGGGACCTTAACATCAAGGTGCCTCAAGATTTGCTTTGCTTTGATTTGTGAATATTTACATCTATTGTTATATATTAATAATATAGTCACTTTCGAATTCGACTGCCATCACTTCGAACAGTTCATCCCGTCACTTGCATTGACTTGACCGCCACGCTGAGGTCTCAGGTTCGATTCCCGGGCCGGGAGAAATATTTGTGTGGCCGTAAGTTGTTGTCGTAATTTGTGAGTTTGGGTGTAATTTGTGGTTGTCTATGTGTGTGTCCATGGCATCCGCGACACAGAGTTTCCCTAGTGCGGGGCTATGTTGAATGTGTGCGTTATTATTATTATTCAAATTCACAGACCAATATCGACTGTGAACTGGCAACCGGTACTATCTCAATTTTGGCAACTTTACAGGATGAAGAAAAAATAATTTGTATAGTATCTGGTTTATTAAATAAAAATACGTAGTGTACCTACATACATACATGTGTAATAAAAATATTTAAAACTGCGTATTTTTATTTAATAAACCAGATGCTATGTAAATGACGCAAATAATTTTTTTCTTCACCTGTAAAGTTGTGAAAATTGAGATAGTACCGATTACCAGTTGACAGTCGATATGCCTCAATTTCATTTATTTTGTAAGTTATATCATTGACTTTTATTATGTTAATCACGCGATGCCAAAATTACGACAGTTTTGTGGAGAATCGGCAATTGGTCGCTGCGATTTGTGTTTTCCGAATTTAAGTCGGGTAAATGATCGCTGTTGCCATGCTATTTGGCACAAACAGTAGTGTTACAGGCAATGAATATTGTCCTTTGTTGTGACAGGTGGTGCAAGACTACAGGCCAGGGCCAGAGTCTGAGACACCGCTCCGCGCGACTGCCTCCACGGCAGAAGGAAGCTACCGGTACTCTTCGTATAAGCTCAACCTGGCCGACTCACAGCATTAGCACTAGTCCAGTGTAACAATCAATTTGACGCACAAAATTCCGTGTTTCTTGCTTTTATCTCGGGACGTAGTGCTGTGGATACAGGCTTCAGCTTGTCCTGAGGTCATACGAACAATCGAGGAATTGAAGCCTAAAATTATTGTCCACCTTAAGCCCTATCACATCATCACAAGTACGTAAGTCAACAGAATTATCCCTACAACCCTCCGTGGTAGTTGTTATTTCTTAACTTGATCCTTACTTAATCTAGCGTCTAATCTTGGGACTTACATCTGTAGTAAATAACACACATACACAAGCTGTGTGCTTTTGGTGTCTGAAAATCGTATATCGAACTTAATTTATTAATTCCCTATATTTACGTTCTGCTTTGTTTTCGAGGCATCTGATATTGTAACGTCTACGTTTTAAAATTATTATTGTAACTTTGGGTCTTGAATTCTACGTCCAGCAATGAGTTTGCGAACGGTTTTTAAAAATAATAAAAATGTGATAATTATGCTGTGGATCTTTAATTTTCCATTTTACTTGTTATGTAACTTTCTAAGCTGAATGCTTTTTACAATTAATAAGCATAGTTGGACATTACATACATAATGTAAGGGGTTCAAGTGCGTATGTAGTTGTTTGCTTTCATACCTAAATACTAATACTTATTTATTAATGATACAATTGATATACAAATATGAGTACAATAACATTAATAATAACTTAATTTCCATTCACACAGAGATAACAACAACTTTCGTACGACATTGGGTCGCGATGGTTAGGTATTTTTTGTACAGTGACGGTATGACTATCACTAATTTGGATAACTATATAACTACGTAGGGACTTCAGCAACCTCGAGTCTAAAGCTCCTAAAATATCTGGTACAGGTCAAAAATATTATGGAATAACATTTTTGGTAAGCTGGGTGGTCCGATTAGTCACCATATATAGCCTAGTTGTGTGTGATGTCCTTACAAGTGTGAAATGCGCGCCCTGTCACCGGGATTCAGGCGACACAGTCAATCGTCCCGTGGAAATCGAAGTCAGATAAAATTGCACACAACAACATCCACATGCACATAAAAAGTGCAATTTCGGAAAAGGTAGGTATTAAAAAAATCGCAATTGCTGAGATGGTCCAAAGTTGCATTTGTTACGACTCTTTAATTTCACTAACAACGGAGATTCCCAATTGTAGAGAAAAGACAATTTGTTGAATAACCGGATCAGCTGTGAAAATGCTTACAAAGATTTAGCAGGGCAATAAAAAATATCAAAACCAAAGTATGAGATATTTAGTATTTCAGTTAAACGGAGCTGAAACACAAGACGATTAATGCTTTCGGAAAAAGCTGCTGACTATAGTTGCTAACGGTGACGTGGATTGCGCAAGATAGTAACATGTCCATTGCCTATACTTACCCAAAGATTTCAGAATAGAATAAAGGCTAAGGTCTCCGCGTAAGATTCAAAAAATTAAAATTCGACTGAGTTATCGTCATCGACAACCGCGTTTGCAATAGCGACAGATGGAAATGAATCTCAACGGCATTAACTGACCGAAAAAAAATTTTGACCACTAATCACTCTATCCTAAGAATAATAATAAGCATATAATAATAAATAATAAGTGATAAAATTTTACAAGTGATGCAAAATAGTAGAAATGTTCAAGAAAGTACATAGACAATTATCCACTACATAGGGCTATATCGAATAGACAACAAATGTTAACATCCACTTTAACAAACCGACAAAATAACACAATTAGGTACCTAGTTGATAGGACGCCAAATATTCGACCCTACAGTTGTAAATTGGCTAAATACTAGAAAGAAACAAATTTAATATTTATTTACAATTAACAATAGTAGCGACCAAAATCACCTAAATCTTTTGATTAGTAATTAAAAACTTAATACCTAGATACGATTAAATTGATAGTACATTATGTTTGCGACAGTTCAAATTAGGTTTAATGTTGTTTAGTTGCGTGAGTCTGTAGAGGATGGTAGATTCTCGCCGTCTATCTTGTGGCGGGTGGCGTGTAAATAGGCTTCAGCGGCAAGCACAGGCCACGTGTCGGGCGGTGGTGGAGCTGTACCGGCCGACACGCCGCCCCATGCCTCCGACGTGGACACCTCCGCTGGCCGCTCCGCTGGGTCCAACGCCTTGACGCACTCTAGCGACAGCGGCTTAGGAGTCTCAATCCTGAACAATTTAAACACCCTTCAAAGACTTTATAAAAATTGTCAATTACAAAACAATAATTTATTAGCGGTATGTGGTCGTTTTACGAGGGCCTCCGAAAGAAAAAATACCTCACGCGTTCAGGCGATTGCATCGCGTCGTTGGTGCTCGATATTTCTAGATCTTCTGCGTAGCTCAGTTGCAGCTTGTCACTGTCGCTGCGTTGCTCTTTTTCTGGTGCAATTAAGAACAGATTAAACCACCAACTTTCACAAAACTAAACGAAATTATTTTTTTGTAATTAGTTACTTACCGTCAACGTTTATGGGGGGTTCCGGCCAGCCAAGCGAGTCGCCCTCTACGTCGACTGGCTCGTCCTCGTTGTCGTAACTTCGCACGTCGCGTGGCCGCTCTTCGCGCCTCTCCTCCTCTAGGTCGTAGCCGAGCATGCTCTCGACTGTGTGGTGGCGCTTGCGAGTGCGCAGTTTCAGTCGACGCTGTCGGTTTGCTCTAATTCGTTGGTACGTCTACAAACAAATAATAGTTGACATTTGGAACCCAAATTTCTAAAGATAGAAAAATACATAGGTAAATTGATTTTCTGATCAACCTCCCAGCGCGCGTCTTCATCTTGATGGTGCAGCGAATGCGCAGAGGGCGCGGGGGCATCTCTGGGTAGCGCGCTCAGGCTGTAAAGATGTTGCAACTCTTGCAGGAAGTGTGCCTGCGCTACGCCCGGCCCCAGTCGGGCGCCACATACGCCGCATGACGACTTGCGCTCGCCGTCCGCTGTAATTACATCATGATAACAATTCATTCACTTACCAATACTCTCTTGAATGGTGTGTTATTTAGCCGTTTCCCAACAGTATGAAATAGCTTAGGGTGTTATATTTAAGGTATATATGACAGTGGCGTATAAGTAATAAAGCACTGACGTGAGAACAAGTCGTGTGAGTCGGTACAGGTAGCGGCGGCAGGGGGATCATCGTCTTTGCAAGGTCGCGGGGATGCAGAGGCGGCGGACCCCGGAGAGCTGGTATCATCGCGCGTCGTGTACCCATGCCGGTATAGTGGCGGTGTGTTGTTGTCGTCGCGGACGCTCTGCACATCAAACTTTATTTCTCTCAGGCTCTGTACGTGAAAGGAACATAAACAGGGTAGAAATCGTAAAGAAAATCCAAAGCAAGTAATAGAACGCTGCCTGAGTAGTATGATTAATAATTAAAATGTACATTAAATATAAATAACTACGATAATTTCCCTAACATTAGTGACAATATATATAGTGTTTTTCTACTTGGAACTTGGAATTCGTTTTAGGCATGATACGTTTTTCAATAAACCTATGCTTAAATTGTTCTTAAAATAAGCTTATAAAGGTATTACCCTAAGTGCTTGACCGACGCTCTGGCTGAGCGCGTACTGTTCACCAAGATGTCTGGCGAAGGCTTTCCCCGGGTATAACGGGTGAAAAGCCCCACCGATGGGTCGAAACGCTCCGCACCCAAAGCTCTGCAACGCTGGGTGCAGAAACTGGGGCGCCATGTGATGCAGAAACCCCTCCATAACGTTGCCCGAGCTTAACAGGAGAAGTCCTTATTAAAGATTCATCATAGTGAAGCGTAATCTTAAATCGCACAGCCGGTTCATTTCATACTTTAGTCACATAGCGAGTAATACAAATAAGCCCCGTCCATGACACCAAAATGCAAAACCTACATCTTGAATTTGTGAAGCTTAGAAAAGAATTCCAAGAGGTTTGTGTTACAGGGAAATGGATCGTTTAAATGAAATGGTCTGAACAAACAATCAAAAAATGGATTACAGCCAGTGAAGTATAAATGTTTATTTTGAGTGTCCATGCGCCGTAGCCGCAACTACAGAGGCGCACGCGGTGAAGCGGCTACGATAGCGGCAAGTGGGCCTTGCGCTACTACGATAATAAACATTCTGGCAACCACTACTTTGGTGGTCAGCAATTTAAATCATCTTGCGTTTAAATGGAAGTATTTGATAAGAGATAACCAAAGATGAACAAGCGCCCGGGTTTTTAATATTTTAGTAGATACAATAGAATTTTTTAATATAATATTAGTGTTTGTAAATAATGTTGAACAAGTGATCATTGTAATTACACCATTGCATTAGGTTAGTCCTATAATGATAGTTACTAGCTTATGTATGTAAAATAAATAAATATAAATAAATCTTTATATCAATCATAGCAATAAAGCAGCGGAGTATTTTCAGAAAAAAATATTTGAATATTATATAATATTCAAATTATAGGGTTTCCAATAAGGCCATAACAATTTTGTATTTCAATAAATCAGGGAATAATTGATATTCCAGGTACAGTAAACATGTTACATTTAAGAATGGAATTCGATCTCGTTCATATAGTCACCACGAGCACGTTTGCAGCGGTCACACGGCTGGTTAAACAATCGATCCGTTGAAATGGTAGTTCGATAATCGTAAAAATTATCGCGAAATGGTACCGTCGAATGGTCACTTCACTAATGCGGTCTAACGCCCCTGGATTACTTTATATGCGGTTACGCTAAGTCATAGACTTATGTCAACAAGTCAACAACGTCACATGATCGCAGGAACAATATCAAACGCGAATTGCCACCAATGTGTTCACTTTTGTTTCTACCACCCGCTCGTACTAATTATAGGCAAAATGAGTTTATGTGGCGTGCAAGTAACTATTTTAACATTATGTGTAATTCATTCGATCTGGATCTTTTTAATACGAGTGCGATTTCGGCAAGGAGAGCATTGAGTGGGCAATTCTTTAACTTAAAGTGAGTTACAACTGCAATTGTCTTTTTTATAAATAAGTTATGTTTTATACCTTAAATAGTGTATCCAAGTGGTTTTTATTATATTTCTATTTGTGAGAATCTATAATTGGCTCTCAGTCGTTACTATTTTCATTTAAGTTAGTTTTAAGCTGTTGATCTTCCTGTTAGATAAATAAATAAATAAAATAAATGTTTCGGCCGATGTATGTGGATGAATGGTGGAATATTCGCACCCCTCATGCAAGATTGGCATAAGTGGAAATACGTCAAACATGTTTATTGCTCCATAATATACAGAAAAATATAACCCACGTCCTCTCCAATTGGAGAGAATGTGGGTTATATTTTTTTTGTGTATCTAATCTCCAATGTATTTTTATATATATTATATATCTTGGTTATATTTTTTTGTATCGAATGGAGCAATAAACATGTTTGACGTAATTTCACTTATGCCACTCTTCCATGAGGAGTACGAATTGGCTCCAAATAATTGAACCCTGCAAACTTGCTCGCGTTGCTCATATGAACGAGATCGAATTCTATTCTTAAATGTAACATGTGTACTGTACCTGAAATAAATTTCAGTTCGACATCTTAATTACTCTGTGTTGTGTCCCTAAATGTCCCTATTGAAAAACCCAATACTAGTAAAAAACATCACGATATTCGATAAAGCTTTGTACGCACTGGGCGAGGCGTGCGCCGTGCACGATATGCGACGTACAGCTCGGCTGGAGATATGCATTGTAAAAAATCGCGCCGCGACGAATACACGTAGCCGCTGCTGCGTTTTCAGTAATTTTTTCAATTTTACATTAACCCTAGAAAGATAATCTAAGTCGAAACGACGTATTCGATTTTGAAAAATCGGTGAACTTGACGAACCATTTTCACTAACTGCCCAAAATATAACAGAGCCAAAACCATAAAGCGTAACTTCCTTGAAACGGCCCTCTACTTAACAACGTAGGCACAGTTGTAACAACCTACCTAATATTTTATTAGTTGGCTGCATATGTGTAAAGTCTGTCTTCTCCTGAACGGTTCGCATTATATTGACCATTGCACGCCTTTATATTTTCTGATTGTTTTTTTTTATGTTAACGTAAGAAACCTTCCAGTTTTGTAATACCATAATAAAAGCTAAATCTATCACCTCGTGGTCCTTTACATCTTTTCTCCGTGATCTTCTTTTACAAGAATTCTTGGCACAGATAAAGAAAAAAAGGGGAGATTTGGTATGGGGGCGCGGTTCGTGTCGCCTCGATATGATCAAAATGATCATATCGAGGTGGCACGCCTACAAACATAAAAACATAACATTCCACCGGCTATTTGCATTTTTAGTTACTATTTCTATTATTATTCAATGTTTTCTTTTTGTCTCCATAGAAAATTCTAAACTCAAATATAGTGAGTGATGTTCATTTACGATGACTGATGTTTATCGACAATAAATTTTTACCGAAATATTTGAATTTCTTACTATGATTTTTGTAATTAAAGTCCCTAAAATATCGAAGCGAAAAGCATTCACATTAATTTGATTTCCTTTATTTTATTATTATTATTATTATTACTAAACATTTTATTTCGAGTAACTTAAACACAACTCAAATTTCGGACAACCATTTCAATTTCATGTCAATTTGTATATTGCTGTTGCTTGAAGAAAAATGTATGTGTATTATTGTTTTAGATAATTTAGATATTTAAATTCCATTGTACTCGTAGATTAAACGTAGAGTATTTTTAATTTTTAAGTTTTTCCAATGACTTCAAAATAAGAGAAGGTTGGATTGAAGCTGCAGGAAAATTGAAATATTGGTTTTCTTATTACTATTTCTGATTTTGTTTAGATTTAAATATTTTTTTAAAAGTAAATAAAATACAATAAAATCGGCTTTATTTTACATGTGCGTGCAAAATAAATTAGAAACAATTATAGAAAATTACACAAATCCTTCATAGTGGAAACGTATAATGGAAAACTGACACTGGCGACGATCGCCATAGATATAGTATGAAAAATGGAATGTTTTTTTAATATTAAAAACAGCCACATGGTTTCTAACTATCGATTAGGTAGGACCACATCCCTCGTTGAGTAGCGTCAGTTTAAGGTTAATAAGGTTAACAATACACGGAGCGGTTTCCATCCGCGCCCGCCGGTGCTGCGGGACAGAGGTTTTATTTCAATACTCACGACCCCGCAAGTTTGTGCAGGCACGTAGCCGTCGCGGTTGCGGACATGAAACCGTTGCGATTACGGAACGGACCGCGAAGTTAGTGGGAGTTAATCGCAAGTCACGCGGTTAATAGAGAACTTATCCCGCGTGCGCCTGCACCACATTGCGCCTAAACCGACCGCCAAAGTGCGCGGGCGACGACAACCGCCAAGCGCGCCGGTGATCGCGTCCTGCGCGGTTTTACTAGTACCCCGCCGCGGCAACCGCGAGCAACCGTCACCACTACAGGCGTAAAACGCGCCGTGAAATGTGCTACTAATTTTACATACTTAACTATCACATTCTACAGATGCCGCGGTCCCGCGGCAAGCGTGGGTGAAAATAAGTTTCAGCGCCATCTAACGTGTAATAGTTAGTTATTATATACTAATAGCATTTTTACTAAAACTCCACCTGATGGTGAATGGCTGAACCAGGATGAAAAATACTGAAATATTGTAATATAACTCCTACTCACGTGACTGTAAGTTTAATTTTGTTAAATTTTAAAATTGTATTAAGTCGTTTTCACGTTTTAAGCCCTACCTAATCAAAATCTTCAAGTTATGGTAGTAGATAATAGAGTGTAAAGTTTGAATTGCACTTAAGCTAAAAAGTGGCAACATCGGTACCCGATTTTACATAGCGTCATTACATATCTCTCCTTTTTTTTATATCTATGGTTTCTTGGAATACCGCACCGATGCGGTTTACACTTAGTTAAATACATACGTAGTTACATTGTCTGCAATTTTATTCTAGCATTTTATTCTCTATTTAATGAAACGTCGACAAGAAACGACGACGAAAAATTCTTTCTAATTCTTTAATGACGAAAATTGTGTAATAAAACTTTTAGAAATGATTAATTTTAAAGTACTGAGTGTTTATATACATTAAAAAAAAATCTTAACAAAATGCGGCGAAGATAAAGGTTCGACGCAGTTATAGAATATTTTGTTTGATTGATGAATATCTTGACAAAATTAAATTGTAACTTGACATTATTTGCTTAGAGGATGGAAAACCAATAGTCTATATTTGTGCAATTTTTATTATTGCGGTAGTATATTTGACATTATCTAACTAGACATCTACATGCTACTTAATATTAAGCGAAACGTGTTTGTACTGGTACCTGCTGTCTATTGTAACATCTACTATTATACCAAAGCAAATAAATGAATTATTATTATTATTTAATTTTTGTCATCGCACTTCTTTTGTTTTTTTATTTATTTGTTTTGTATACATTCAAATAGAGATAAATAAGATTTAATTAAATGAATTATTGTTGCATGCTAATCCAATTTAAATTTACCTTAAAATAAGAAAAATAAATTTATTACCTTAATAAAAGTAATTTTGTACAAAACTTTAATGCAAACCTTTTGGTTTAATAATTGTGTTAAGATATCGTTATAAAATGTACAGTTAACACGTAGACACTTTACAATAGAAACCTCTCTTAGGTTACCGACAACAGTTGGTCCGCGTTATTGCCACTGCCCATTCTATTGCTACTACGTGTAAAC